TGTGTAAACGAAAAGAGAGTGTGGGTCGTTCATGTAACAGAGTGCGTTAACCGTTAGTACGTTAATTTAGTGGCCAAAGCATTCGCTGCCAAGCGTTCATTGTAGCAAGCATACTTTTAACGTGAGTTGTGTCAAACCAACGCCAACGCCGAAGTCAACGCGAAAGTTCTTTGTGGATGTGGACCGGATTTAAGGGCCGGTTACTCAATGTCTGGTTAACACTAGTCGGCGTTTAAACATCGTTATCGACGACTTCGACTCCATGCATACAACAGGGAGTCGGTAACGTCGATAACTATGTTTAACCGGAGATTAGTGTTAACCAGACATAGAGTAACCGGCCCTAAGTCGTTTAACGCTTCTTTCCTATTCCTCTACATTTCAAGATCTTCGTTCTCACGTATTTTGGCTTTTTTCTTTCTCTTCTTATTACAACAACCACACATAGCTTACCACTTTAGCTACCTACATATATCGATCCCACAAATATCGCATTGCGCCCGATCGCAGCGTGATTCTGTACGTGGCACCTTTTCTCTCTGCAGCTTCGTGACATTCCTTATCCTGCCAGTTGTTCTTTCGAACTCGCTGGAATCCGATTGCTCCTTCGGCGATGGTACGGAAATGTAGTTACAATGCATAGCTTAAGTCGATATTTTGAAAGAACCCTCCATCGTCTCAAACTCACTCAGCTAACACGTAATTTCCTCTTTGCAGGATATATTAAAGCAAACCCGTGATTGAAGCCTAGAAAGGGAATGCTGCATATCGTTACCTTAATTCACAAAGGCCCTAACCAACACTTTTCGAATCTGTATTTTTCACAGATTATATTCCGCTTTTTAAAACCCCCGATCTGTTTTTTGATTGTCTTTTTATAATGTTTTTTGTTTCTCCTTTAAAATAGAAAATTTGTTGGTTAGCCCCTTGGTGAATGTTGTGCTATAAGCAAGAGGTTTGACTTTGCTTTCAACGAGTTCCATATTGATAAAAAATTTTTACCGAAAATTAAAATGCCTTCATTACAGAAAAAATGTCAAATCCTTATACCAGAAATAATTTTACTTTAAGAAACATTACTTGTCTTCTGCTACTAAATTTTGAACTTGAAGGCGAAATCCACATCTTAATATTCATCGTGGAATGGATAATGTGGATGACTGGATAAACTGTAATAAATCACTCGATATTAGAATAAAATCCAAAATTACAAACAATCGCAAATTATACTTCGACAATGGGACCAAACGTAATTTTTTATCCAACTTATCAATAATTTTCATCTCATGATCATCCAATTCGAAATCCGCCACATTGAAATTACTCTCAATTCGACTTGGAGTTACAGATTTTGGTATTACGGCATTACCACGCTGCAATTGATAACGGAGACAAATTTGTGCTGCTGTACGTCCATGATGAAAAGCTATACTTTTAATCTATGGATGAAAAAATCACAATTTTTGCGAACGCATACCTAGAATATAGTCATCATCGATTCGCTACTTCGCTGCTTGCTATGTTTGAGTTCCGGTCGCTTAACGAAAAATTTTGCATGTGGAAGCAACAACAAAGTTAGCTAGCACGGATACACGACAGCGAGTTTGGTTGTACCGCATTGAGTTCGTTCGTTTAGCCACTTGCTGACTGCTGGCGAATCGATGACGGCTTATGTAAGCTCAATAGCAGTCGCCATTGAAACTTACCATATTATCGCCCAACAGATAAGGCTCATCTTTTGCCCACGACCTCCCCGGTGAACCCAAAGGGCTATAAGCCACCAGCAAAATTTTATTCGTCTTCAAATAAGCCATAAGGCGCATCTGGTTCAAATATGGATGGCATTCAACCTGATTGACAACCGGTTTAATCTTAGCGATGTTCAAAATTCGCTCAACTTGTTTCTTATTGAAATTAGATATGCCTATGGAGCGCGTCAAACGACGATGTACCAAATCCTCCATTGCTTTCCATGTATCCACATAATCCACATGCGAGAATAATACACGCGTCATATGGCATCAATTCTTTCCCCTCCTTAAAGCCCATGGGCCAATGTATTAGGTAAAGATCGAGGTATGATAAATTTAAGTCGTTCAAAGAGCGACAGCAACCCTCCAGCACCAGCTCGGGCCGATGAAAAGTATTCCACAATTTGCTGGTTATAAAAAGTTCATCGCTGAAAGTGATTTAGGTTGGAGAGAGTGGCAATGGATTCAAGATTTAATTAAATGAAAATTAATTAGTTATAGCTTTTTTCACAAAAAAATAAAATAGGCTTAAAGAGCTTTATAATGTGATATTTTCATAAAAATTTTCGATTTACATACATATAAAGCATTTAAAGTCTTTTTAATCTTTTATGAATTTGAGGGTTAGAATTTACCGATTCACAATGCAGTTTTTTATAGTTTCGTTTATGGCTTTACCAACGGCTTGCTCGTTCTGGTAAACATGAGCACAATCGATCATGCGATAACCCACATTTATTGCGTGCTTGACTGCCTTATAGGCCTGGTCTGTATTCGACTGAAATTGTGTACGGGAAAAATCGAAATTTTTGGAAAAGTGATGCGCAAATCTAGGTAGATACTTACACCAAAAGTGCCCAGACCAAACAGGGGCATCGTACGCCCATCATTCAATTTGATTTTAGGAATTTCAGCCTTTTTCACATTGCAATCGTCGGGCGGTTCCTTAACTGGTTCCAGCCGAGAGACTGGCTTTAAACATTTTGACTTTTCAGGCGTCTTTGTTGCTTTCTTTTCACCGCATTCTTTTTTGGACTTCAAAGTAGGCTCGGATTTTTTAGCTGGTGCAGAGCACAACTCCTTAGCAGCATCTTCAACGCCATTCTGGGCTTTTGGAGGCGCTTTGCTAGAGTCTGCGGCCGTTTTGCTATATTTATAATTTTTCAATGTTTTGGAGTCCTCTTTAGTAGGTGACGAATACTTTGTATTGGACATTGGCTCAATACATGTGCCAGATACAGTCTCCTGCATTGTCGTTGTAACGCCATTTTTCGCTGCGTTATTTGCGCCATTACCTTCTGTTATTTTGTTGCTGAACAAAGTGAACGAAGTGTATGTATGTATTAAAAACTCAAATTTGCCATTGAGTCATTTTTGTCTGAAATCAACTTACCCAAATCCCAAAAATTTGAATATGCGATATTCACCGGAATATACACGAACAAATTTGTTGCTCGTAAATTTGCCTATGTTCAATTTTTGCATTCTTCATTTACTAATTGTAGTTCTGAAATAACTGTAAATTTGATTTGGCTATTAACACTATGTGTTTATTGTTCGAAGAAATTAAGTTAATATACATACATACTTACTATATTGAAAGATATTTGAAAATTTTTATTGACTTTTTGATTCATTTACGTTTAGTTTCTCGACATGATTGATTATTGAATCATGGTTTCTCGATTTCTTTTCTTCTTTTTTTTTCAAAAGGTCAACGGTTTAAATCATATCTGATGCCTGGTTCAAATACTGGCTTTCCCTTATTTGGTAAGATATGTAGATCTGTACCATTTTACAACCGAACAGGTTAGAGGCAATCATTTTCAAACGGATGATGCGGATGTCCAGTGCCACTAAATCATTACAAAAATAAAAATAACGGCTTGTAACAAAGGTGGGCTCCAGACAAATTAGAAGGAATCAACATTTTATAGTTACTAAATATTTTTTTGCAATGGCCATAGATAGGTATTGGTTAAGGTGCGCACTGCGATTGTGTCCTTGCACTTGGGCCATTCCAGCGAAGATGATACCATAGGTCAAAAAATAACTTACATGCATTGCGTTTAAATCTGTGACAACAGTAACAGGTAGAATAATTCTTTAGAAATCCAGTTTTATCGATTTATTTTTCACCATGTGCTCTACTATTATTCTTATAAATGCGATTACCTCTGACATAATATTTTTTCATCAAGTTGTCAAGGTATCAAGTATTAAAGGCAACAATGCAAAAAATAATTATCCAAAAATTAAGTACAACTCATGGACTTTAAAACAATGCTGAGTTATTACAAAAATACATTTATGTTGAGAGGTTGTCAGCTTTCAAAAAATACTTATTGGATTTCCTACCCGACACAGACAAATTTTTGATTTATAACCTAACTTACAGATACGTAAGCTTCCCATTGTTTAAATAAGGCCCATTTATTAAAAATAAAATAAGTATTAATATAAAACTAGTAGTGTTCATTTTACTCACGAACTATGTGACCTCAATAGTGAATCTTACCAGCCGTCGCAAAATAGTGTTCCACCCTTCACGAGTTAAAATATATTTGTTTAATTTTCAAATAATGCCGTCAAAGGATAAAATTTACTTTAACATTGTATTATTATGTAATAATTTGAATTTAATTTTTTAACAGGTGGCAACTCTTTTTTGAAAAAAATAAGATCTTACTGCACACCTGCAGGCCTTTAATTTAAAATCTCATTTTTGAAAATCGAACGACCGGAAGAGATGCATGGTACTGAAAAGTTATTTTACTTCTCTATTCTGGCTGCATTTTTTATTCGTTCAGAACGTTTGGAATAGACTTTTTTGTTTACTTATTCTTTAGAACGTTTCTGATGATATGTTAACGTATATTTCAAACACATTCTGTTTATTCTGACTGTGAAACGGGATTATCTGGAATGTATAAAGAAACGCAGCCTCTGTATCAGTGACAAACTCCTGCCGCAGTGTTTTTTATTGAAAATATATGAAAAGGTTTAAATTTATCAGTAAAAAATTTTTTGTAACCGATACAGAATTGGGCTATTAATCTCAACCTCAATCTAAATCCACATCTTGATCTTAATCGTGACCAACCACCACCGCCATCCCCTACCTTCTTCTGGCGATTTTTTGTTTGGAATTAGATCCCAATTAGTGTGTCGTTTTTTTTTGTTACATCGATGTTTGCATTTACTCCCAACCGAACGCAAAGAAGTTTCACTTCAAAAATGTTTTTTCCAAGATCTCGATTATAACATAATTATTACAACTTACTTTGACAAGGTTTCTCTGCGAATGTTGCAATTCATTAAATGAAGTTTTTCCAGATCTTCTCGACTTAATTGGAAACTTTCAACCGTCAAATTATTATCCATGTGATTCAGACAAGTTGTTCTTATCAATACAGCATTGCCACGATGTACTTGATAGCGGATTAAAATTTCAGTAGGTGTTTTCTCATATTTGTTTGCCAAACATAAAATTAGTGGATGTTTCAGGAGTGGGACGATATTGTCGACTCCTGTTCTTGGCCCTGTTGGCCCGTAAGCCATGAAAACTATTTTATGCTTACAACATAGGTCCATTAGCTTATTTTGTGTCAAATAAGGGTGACATTCGACTTGTAAATTGGCTGGTGGTATGCGGGCCACTTCAAGTATGCGTTCGATTTGCTCTGCGTTGAAATTGGCCAAACCAATCGATCGTACGAGACCCTTATCAACTAAGGCCTCCATTGCAGCCCAAGTATCTACATAGTCGACATCAGAATACATAATTTCACCTCTTGTGTTGCGCGGATAGTCTACGAAACCATCTTTAAAACCCATCGGAGTTTGAATAACATAATTATCCAGAAAATCGAGTTTCAATTGTTTCAGTG